CATTCCGATTCTTTGAGTGCTCCCAGTAGACAGGCGAAGCCAGGTCGCCAGCAAGCGCAGAGAGGTGATAGTTCAGAGTCCCTTGGCGTGAAGCGGAATACAAACATCCGACGACCGTCATATCCTGAAGATGAGGAGTCTACACCGAAGGGTAACGTGCAACAACAGAAACAACAGATTGATCGGCGGGCTGCACAATCGGCGCTACCGTCATCATTGCAGATCGGGGGTACTGCGAAAGGGCTTTCAGACAGAATGAAGGGTAGGGATAGCGGTTGGGAGGAGTCTGTAGCTTCTGGTTCTTCATCAGTCAATAGCTACCCCGGGAACAGTTCTTCCGGAAGTTCCCATCACGACACTAGAGGCACAAGTCCGGCAATGTCACGAGTAAACACCGATACTATATATAACTTGCAAGATAACGGACCCAAGGCCAGATCCCCAGCGCCAGCACCAGCGTTGAAGCCTATTCAATTGACGGATGGAGATGACATGGATTTCGACGAATCTATCTCTGCGTCTGCTAGCTTGGCGGCTAGGTACGAGAACCTGGAACAGGCCAAACCCACCAACGCACCCAATAAGGTGATGACCCCTGCTCAGTTCGAAAGATACAGGCAAGAGCAGGATAATCAGCGAAGGCTGTCTGGGAAGTCGTTCACTGAAAGCGACAATGAATCTGGCTCGGAATCTGAAGAAGAATCGGAGACTGAGAAGCACAAGGAGGCTCTGAAGCAACGTCAGAAACAGGAGGCACACCTGTCTGTTTACAGACAACAGATGATGAAGATCACTGGTTCACAGCCCATGGAACAGCCGTATAATGCTAGAGGATCAATCAGCGCATCTGCTTTGCCGCTACCTATGAACAACTCTATGCCGCAGTTGAGCCTATCAGGGCCAGGATCTAGTGGGAGGAGCTCCGAGGAAGAGGATGAAGAGATTCCACTGGGGATATTGATGGCTCACGGATTTCCCAGCCGTAGTAGACCACCAACTCGGCTCTCGAATGCAAGCTCTCAGCCAAATCTCAGACAGTCAGCAATGATTCAGGACTCGAGACTACCGCCGTTTGCAAGGAACCTCCCTGCCGACCCCTATAACTTGGGTGCTAGTATTATCAATCCAACCAACAGAATGTCACTTGCCTTTGGTGTTGGGGGTGATCAAAGATCAGTTGCTGGTGGGTCTGTTTATGGCGGCGATATGCCAGCACGTCGTCAGCCTGGTGGGTTGATCGGTGAAATCATGAGGACGGAAGAGATGAAGGCGGCAAGGAGGGGCGGCAGTCAGCAGCAATTCATTCCACAAAAGGATCCTTTTAATGCGGATCCATTTGATAGGAACCCATCGCCAGGAGGTGGTATGCTTGGTCTTGGAGGAGGGTCTCTACCGGGTCAGTATGGTGGCGGAATGGGGATGGGACAACATATGCCTGGAAACATGAGTCCTAGATTGGGCCCGAGTATGGGTATGCCTGGCATGCCTGGTATGCCTCCTATGCAGATGCCCACACCGGCCCAAGGGACAGACCCAATGCAAATGCAGATGGCAAACCAGATGCAGCAGATGATGCAAATGCAAATGCAATGGATGCAGATGCAGATGCAAATGCAGAACCCACAGCAAGCCCAACCAATGCTTAGCCCACCTGTAATGGGTCAGAGGCCAATGAGCATGGCTGGCCCCGGCGCTGGCAATTTCTCTGCTATGCCACAACCACATCAACGAACCATGAGTATGATGGAACCACTTCCAATGTTCCAAGGCCCTGGTTATGCTCCCTCGATTGCTCCAAGCCAAAGAGGTGGTGGTGGTGGTGGTGGTGGTGGCCTCATGCCTAGTGGACTTATGCCACCAGGAGGATACACCCCTTCGATTGCTCCATCCGAACGGAGCACTGTAGGACTTCCTTCCCGTTACAGACCCGTGTCGTATATGGCCCCCGTCGGTGGCTCTCAGCCCGGTGCACGGACGTCTTCCTTGATCTCTGGGATTAGCCCAGACATGAGTAAGAAGGGAGCTGGCCCGTCACACCTAAAGAATTCTGGGGCTGCTTCAGATGATGAAGATGACGAGAGTGGTTGGGAAGCTCTGGAGAGGAAGCGCCAAGAGAAGAAGGAGGGATGGAAGAAGAAGAGAGAGACTGGATTGAAGGGCATTTTGAGTTTTGGATCTTCTTCCGGGCCTAGTGATTCCAAGTAAATTCGCAGAAGTAAGGGTTGCATAATATCCAGGTTTTCTTCTTGGTTCTTTTTCTTGTTACACCCTCTTTTTATTTTTATTTTTCGTTTCTTAGACCAAAAAAAATCATGGGGAAAGGGGAATATCGATGGGAGCATGCATCAACCATTGCATTCACGGGCGCATAACAGGGACAGGGGAAAAAATCATGATGTCGGTGGCACTTTCCGATATACCTCAAATTCATTATTTGGTATAATTGCAATTATCTTTTGTTTTCTCTCTCTTTTTTTTTTTCTTTTCTCAACGCTATTTTATGTATCCTGCAGTGGCAGCATGGACGGCCGTATGTTTGTTGGTTTGGCGAAAGCAAGAGATCGAGCATTTTCATGTGTCTGTTTTTTTTTATACCATTTTGTTATGTTCTATTCCCCTCTTTATCGAGATTTCTTTTCTTTTCTTTCGCCTTCAACTGAATATTGCAGTTTGGGTAGTTTGTGCGCGTTGTTGTGGTTGTCATTACATTGATGGGGCTGTAAGGTGATTTTGAGCGGGACATCATCTGGGCTTTTCATCTTTTTCCTCCTTTATATCTCGTTTTCGTTCTTCGGCATTTCCTTTTCATTTTACAGCCAGCCCGCGGTTAGATATCGATCGCAAGTCGTTGTTGTTTGTTGCATTGAGCGAAGAAAGTATTCTTGTTTTGTTGGGTTGTGGTTATGGGGTGCAGTATGAGTTGCAGCACTGGGCATAATCAGAGGGAGGGGTATAATGGAGGGGATGAGGTTTGGGGGGGGGGGGGGGGGGGGGTCTAATCGTAATGTACAAAATAATCTATGTTAAGCGATGACATTGACATATCTATCTGATCTGACTCTGACCTGACTGCCTGCAAGAATATATGTCTGGATGGGGAAGGGGGAGGGTGACATGAAGGGTGTGGGGATTAACTTTTTTCTTTCTTTTTGCTAGACTTTCGTCTGATCTTTCTATTCGTGGGGAGAGGCACATGTGATTTAGACAGGGCAAGCTTTGCTTTACACATATGCGAGGATGTACCTGCGTTGACCGTGATCGGTAGTTGGGAGGGTTGTGGTTGGGGTTGAGGGTCGTTATCGCTGGGGGTGTAGAGCGTTGTGGTTTGGAATAGATGTATCTGTGTAGAATAGAACTTATAGAATTTTATTGTTAGTTAGATAGGCTAACTCTACTGCGGGTTCCTACGTCAGTGTCAAGATATGCGCTATGATTGCTGTGGTGGGTGGGGTGGTTCTAGTGATTGTGGTGGTTATGGTGGTTGTGGTTGAGAGTGGAGGAGGTAGAGAGTTGTTGGAACAAGGGTTGCCGTATTAGAGAGTTTGTACTAACCTGTGGTACAAGAAGTTCCTATTAAATAGTAGCAGTAGTACCTGACGTAGTATTAGTAGTAGATTAGTAGGTACATACGGTAGGTACATTTCAAATCAGTAGAGCGTCCGTTCATTACAGCACACCATTCTGCTCATCTGAGCCCGTCATGATCGCAATGGAACGGACATGACAGCGGCGTAGAGTACGTTAACTACATGTAGTATGTAACCGTAACATTGTATTCAGAACGGGATCAATAACACGATGGACTTGCCTATTCGTTGGCCATAACCCGTGGTGTTGTGTGAGTGGCGGACGTGCTTCACAATCGCATTCTTTTCTTTCCGTTTGAGCTGGAGATCCTCGCCGTGGATGACAGCCCCTGGCAGTGAAACAGTTACCGTCAGTTGTCGAACAGCAGCTTGCCTACAGGCTTCGATCCTGCCTTCTCTTTCCTTTCCTTTTCCTCTCTTCCCTACCGTTGCTACATCTAAGTTCGGGGTGACAAGAACGACGTTGCATCCATCTCTAAATTTCTTCCTTGACGTACCCTTTTTTATCTTCTGATCTGTCTTTCTCTCTCACTCTCACTCTTCGCTTTGGAGAGTTTTTTTTCCCTTTCCCTGCAAGTAACTTCTTCAAATTCATACGTTTAATTTTTCAATCCATCCAATCCTGCATATGAGCTAGCTAGCCCGCCCCCTCCCCCATACCTGCCTGCATTTAATTCCATTCCTTTGCCTCTGCATCATCACCACACATCCACAGAGACACCCACCACCCCGCCGCCGCCGTCACCCACCACCTCCACCTCCACTGTCACCGTCACCGCTACACGCTCACTTCCCTCCCCCTTTCTGGAAATTATCCCCGTCTATATTTATTTATTTAATTTTACCTGGGGTTGTTTCTGGGCAACGACATCCAATACAGCATACAGCACTGAAAGCTTTACGCTTTTAACACGAGAGAGCAGGTAGTTACAGGGGGGCAAGGGCATTAGTTCTTCATAAACAACTTCTTAACTCCTCTTTCTCCTCTCTTTCTCTCTTGCATGCTCATCGCTTCCTTCCCTATAAAATATTTGGGAAACTATTATATATTTTTTATTAAGAAGCCGAGTATTCTACTCTAATCCAAAAGTTTCGCTTTTTCTTTTGTTTTTTTATTATTATTGTTCTTATTTTGGTCAACTGCATTCTGCAACTGCAACCCCCTGTTCGCCTCAAGCAGCAAGCAAGACCCGCGGCCGCCGTTTAAGTCAGGAGATTCTTCTTTCAACCCCCAGGAAGAAGCACCCGTTCCACATTGTTTATCCGACACACAGTACACCAAAAACACAACACAAAAACCAGCACAAACACCACAGGGCGACAGTTACCAACAACAATAGCAACCTTCCGATAAAACGAGCTTGGGGATATCCTTGAGCGAGGCTATTCCCCCCCTTCAACTCCTAGGGCGTCATGCCCCCGAAAACAAAGGCGGAATTGCAGAAGCAAAGGGCGAAGGTACGATACGACTTGCCACTTGCACCTTCCCGCGACATTCACACTACCGGTTGATTGCTGATGCTTTTCGTAACGGTCTTAGCTTGTAAACTCGTATAATGAACTGCTAGAGTATGTCGTCTCGTTCCTGTACTCTGGGTCCGGTCGCAGGTAGCAAGCTGGGTGGCTGGTGCGGATCTACGGGATGTGAGTGGATGTGAGGAAAGCTTGGGGCTGACGGATGGGTGCTCGAATCTAGAGAGTTTTCGTCAAAAGAGCTACGGACCGTCGGGAACTATTCGATCGGACGCTTAATCGGAAAGGGGTCTTTTGGGAAGGTCTATCTGGCTACGCATAAACTCACAAATGGGTCTAAGGTATATACCACTTCTAATCCTTCTCATTTGTCTCTGATCCAGCTTCTACGGATAACGCGGGCTTTGGAAAGCGGCGGAGAATTGAAGACGTTGTTCTGGGTATCGAAGGAAGAGGACATGGGGTGGATCAAGTGATGAAGTTCGGGTTACTGGAGCGATTGATGTTGATGGGTTTGGGATTGTAGGTTGTGTTGAAGTCGGCTCAGAAGGACGACGCGAATCTGGCGAGGGAGATACACCATCACCGCCAACTGGTACACCCGCATATCGCGCGGTTGTATGAGGTCATTGTGACCGAGAGTCTGGTTTGGCTGGTCCTGGAATATTGCCCTGGTGAGAACTTCTACCAATTCTGGGAACTGGGTCAGGACTAGAATGTTGATTGGTCGAGTTCGGGAGGATAGGTGACGAGCTTTACAACTACCTCATCCAGCAAGGGCGCTTAACGGTCGACAAAACGAAGCGCATCTTTGCGCAGTTGGTCGGTGCTGTAGCGTACGTGCACATGAACAACTGTGTTCACAGGGACTTGAAGTTGGAAAACATCTTGCTAGATAAGCATGAGAATGTAGAGATTCCCATCGCGGCCGATAGGGGAAATAATTGACTGTTTCGCTGACTCGAGCGCAGGTCAAGCTTTGCGATTTTGGTTTCACCCGGGAGTACGAGCGCAATAAGCTACTCCAGACCTTCTGCGGGACAGTATGCTACTCGGCTCCGGAAATGATAAAAGGAGAAAAATATATTGCCTACGGTACGGGATGGTTCCGCTCTTTATTCCCAACGTTAACTTCCTCGGATTCCAATCCGGATGCCCCCGTTCCTCCCATGGCTTCGATTTCCCTCCACATCCGCCCCTCTCGCTTCCCTTTTAAATATCACTGTGATAAATATTCTAATTTACCCTCAGCTGTGGATGTTTGGTCTTTGGGAGTCATCCTATATGCTTTGCTAGTTGGAGAGCTGCCGTTTGATGAGGATATCGAAGAAGATACTCGACGTAAGATATTGAACGATGAACCGAGATATCCGGATCACCTATCGGAAGGTATAGCTCATGAAGTCCACTTGAGGGGGTAGGTTCTTAATTGGCTAACGGGTTTATAGAATCGGTATCTATGTTGAAGGGTTGCCTGGCTAAAAAGCCAAGCCTACGACCAACCCTCGATGAAATACTCACCCATCCCTTTTTAGCTGAACATGCGCCCGTACAGAAGGCTATATTGGCGCTACAACCTCCTGCGCCGTTCTCCAGTAAATTAGAAAAAGATACATTGCACAGGATGAAAGCCGCTGGTGTTGATATTGACCAAGTTATAGAACACGTCCTTGCAAAGAAATGCGATTCTCTAGCTGGATGGTGGGCATTACTGATCGAGAAAGAAGAGCGTAAGGAGAAACGGCGACAGAAGCGCAAAATAGAGAGTAGACGAATGAGCGCGGCTTCGAACCTTGATCCATCGTTGTTGCCTCCGCCGGCGGAGGAGGCTGAAGATCGAGTGAGGAACGATGCTAGGAATACAGCGAACCGTGAGTTTGTTCCTGTTAACTACTATGGGTGTTCGTTCAATCTTTCCCACCCAACCCGGACCCGTCCGTAGTTTTCTTTTCGTGAGCTTACGTTTGCTTTAGCTGTAATTATCTTGCCCGAACGTAATTTCACAAAGTCGCCGAGGGTGCAGACTCCGCCGTCGCCCACACCGCCGCCGCCAATAGAGAAGGATAGGGATTATGGACCGTATTTGAAACCCCCGCAGCATGATCGACAAGTGATGTCTTCGCCAGACTTACACCTGGATGTGAGCAGTTCCAGCGGTAAGGGACGACCAAATCGAAAACACGCCTTGATGACGCAACTCGCCTCAATAAAACACTGGTTTCTGGACTCAGCAAAGCGCGCAACCTCTCCAAATTCGAAAAATCAAGCAGCGCAGAAACCGGGGAGCTCGCAAGGTAACCAGGTCTATCAGCAGCAGCAATCGGGCTCACGTACGAGTAACGGCGCGCGGAGGAACTCTCGAGGTAATGGGATATACTCGGTCGCCCACCGCAGCACCCCGCCGCCCAAGAGGAATTCGCTTTCGCCGCAACCATTGACACCGCATGCTTACCGACGCTCTTCCGGACGTGGACTCGGCGGGAGAACTTCGACATCGTCTTCGGTATCCTCGATTCGCTCCTTCCACAACAAGTCTCACTCAAAGGCCTCTTCAACGTCATCGGCGTCGCTGAACAGCATTACCCTGAAGTCACCACGGTCACCTAGAAACTCCATCAAAGTTCTTCCTTCGACACCTACATCATCCACGTTCCCTTCACACGTGCGGGTTGTCAGGTCAACAGGGTATAACGAGGCGGCAGTATTGACAAACGGTGTAACATTTGCAAGAAGGAAGAAGAGTCCGTTCAAGGGGCCTATGCTGACAAATCTATCCGCGAAGAGAGATGGAAATTCGGCAGGCTCTAGGCAGGAGCGGAAACGGAGCAGGGGGGGCATCATCGAGGAAGAAGAGGAGGAAGAGGACATTGAAGAAGTACTAGAGTTTGTGGGGCCAGGCGAGATAGATGGGGAAGAAGTGGATAGTGATGACGATGACACCCTGAGAGGAAGGCACGGGTGAAAGATTGATGGTAAGAGTCTGGACCATGGATTATTATTATATTGCATTATTGGCTTATTTCACGGGTTTATTTTGCCTTTGTTGTCATGGGCGTGCTATATGGCTGTAGATTTCTTATTTTTTGTCTTGCATTTTGGCGAGTTTTTGTAAGAGCGATGTAGCTGTAGTTAGCATTGGAACTGGGGTGAGGAGGAGGTTGTGTGTGGGACTCTACTTGTGGTACTCGTTATACAGTTTTACACTGTTTTTTCCTTTGTCTATTATTTTAACTTTTTTTCTTCTTCCAACCTCTTCTCCATCCTTTGCTCCCCCCCGCTTATTCCTATCTTTTGTCCTTATGTTGGTGCTTTGGGGTTTCTGTTTTCTCTAAAAGTCACCTCCCCCCCCCCTTTTCCTTCGCTTCTCTGTATGTTTTCTGGTGGGTTAGAATTGTTGGACCTGGCTGGTTATGCATATGATAATGTCTCTTGCTATAAAGTACCATAAACTGGGGGAACGTTTACTCTTTTTTTTTTTTTGTCTACCATTCGAAAATTTGAACTTTTGAAGAGAGACATCGATGTATGGCCGCCGTCATGCGCATGGGGAAAAAAGAGTAGGGTTCGGTGTGTTTTTTAAAAGGTCTTTGTATCAAGATTACATAATTAATACGTGTGTTATGTATACTGAAACTTGTATGTTTTTTTCCCTCATTTTGTCTTTTCTTTTGTAATTCTTTTTTTTGTGTTTTTTGTATTAATATTCGAATTCTGATTGGTTGCCATGGTGGTTTGCGGAGAGTGATATCCTGTGATTCGGCTCATGCGGGAGCCGAGGTTCGATATTAAAGCCGCCCATATACATATGTATGTTTCGCTATTGATATGAAACTACTGCCTATTAAATTAGCTTGGCTTTCTGTATCATATAGGGGCCGATATACTTATAGGCCAGGAGGAGTATTGACTTACATTTGCTTTGGCCATTAACCTGTTCAAACCACCAAGGTCATAGCATACCAGAGGTCGCCGTAGTAAAAGTTATATGTATAAATATTTGCCGGAAAGGATCAACATCCCTCCTGTGGGAAATCCGGGAAAGACCAAATAATAATATATCAGAGGGTCTGAAACAGCACCCAACGCCTTCCATAATTATAACGCTACAGTGGTATAAAACCTATAAAGACGTAATAACCAATTGCAATAAAACTTCGCCCAAACTGCGTCCCCCCATTCTTGCTAACGTACTACATAGTTAGTACTGATGCTGTATCAAACCACATCAACATCCCCCCCACCACCACCCCCAGCCCCAGCTCCGCCCCCACAGCATTCCTTCTTCCCCCGCGTACCATGGTCATAGTCACCACCATAACACACCGGTGGCAGCCGCCGGTAATCCAGCTGCCACGGCAGCCGTGTGAGCGTGGTGGAGAGCAGGACGAAGAAAAAGAGCAGCACGAGGAAGAGGAGGAAGAGGAAGGCGATGAGGGTGATGAGGAGGGCTTCTAGCATTTTTGGTTGTTTCGTGGGGTGGGTGGTGGTGGTGGGGTTGTTGGTGGGTTTGGTTGTGGGCCTGGTTCGGTTTAGTTGGGGTTGTGAGTGGTTTAGTTGGGGTTGTGAGGTTGTTTTTGCGGTGGTGAGTTGAGGAGCTGATGGTGCGATCTTAAGTGGGGTTGATATTGCGTGCGTGAGTGTGGACAAGACTGAGGAGCTCCCATTGCCGTGTTAATCACACCCATAACAAGAAAGGCAGACGTTGGCTTCCGCAGATTCGCATGCTGTTCTCTCCAGATTGATATCGTCTGGCCACATGCCAAGCGGACTAAGACCGGTAAAGCGAATCTACTAGCCAATCATTGGCCCCGCCCGCGGAGTACCAGTTATGGTCATTGGTTTCCAATTGCGTTGCGTGAGGTTTGGCTTGGCTCATGGTTTCTCACTCGGTTTCTTGACACAACAAGACTACATGTAATGGTTGGTTGGTTCATTAAGACTAAAGCGGAATAGGCCGCCCGGGTACTTATTGTCCTGACCCAGCTATTAACGGGCCCTAATGGGCGGTGTCAGTCTAATATTTGTTATTTAAACGTCTCTGTCTACATCTACTTATACTATAAAAGAATATGGCCTGAAAGAGTTTCGCTAAACCGGCCTAGTCGAGGCCGATTGGCCAAATAATGAGCGAGAACCTAAGTTTAATCTGCAATTGTAGGTCTGCCAGAGAGAGCACCAATCAATATCACACATACCCCACTAAGGAAGGCCCTCAGGCCCCTCAAAAAAAAAAAAGAGAAAAAAAGAAAAGGGCAATAAATACACAAAAAGTAATGCTGTGACCATACGCCCCTCACGGGCTATAGGCCCTAATTCGCGGAAGGACCTGAGATCAACTACCCGGTATATCGGACTCTACTCCCCGTTACATGCCGTACACCCCAGAGCATTACTCTCACCGCCGGAGTTGAGCCCATGACCTATTGATGGTCATGGGGACTACCCACTCGGTGTAGCAAGACGAGGCGTCTACCACTAGACTACGCTCGCCCACACAACTGTAAAAGGCCGGGAAGTAATACTTAAGGGAGTGAAGGCAAAGTGAGCTAGCTAGGGGGACACCTAACCCTACGATCACAATCCACCACGACCCACTGGCCACCCTCTTGTGTATGTATAATGGGCAGTCTCCCACGATTGCTGGACACTCACCATAAACGTTTATAGCCGGGTGTACATTCATGATTGCTAGCTTCAGAACAATAGCAACCCACAGAACAGGAATATTAATTCGAAGTAATATCTCATTTAAAGAACAATATGCACGTACTGAGTCAACACCAATGACTACATGTAATACGACAATTGGATCATCATGTATCTAGCAAGATAAGTAGCAACATAAAAAACCCCAGCAAAAGCTCACAACGTCCACATTCCTACGGGCAACATAACCACATTCATAGCCTATCCATAACCCAATATAAACCAAGCCCCCCCCCCCCCCCCCCCTTTCTTCCGGCCTCCCCCACAGCAAAGTCCACTCACGGGTCAAATTCTACCTACTCCGATACACAAACACCATACTCCCCCCTACCCCCCACACCGCCGTCCCCCCCACCTCGTCCACCCAAGCCGCTAGTTCTCCCCCTACTTCCTCAACACAAACCCCCTCGATTCCCAACACCATATCCGCCACCTCACGACACCCCAAGCTTGCCCCCGGCGGCCCACACATCCCAATACTTGCCGTCCCAAACGTATACAGATGCACACACGCCCACGGCCAGTTTGCAAAGCGCTTGTTGTCCTGAACGCAGATGTCGCCCTTGGGGGCATGGTATTTAAAGATGAGGGCGGCGATTTGCACGTCGTAGCGGGCAGGGCTGGAGTTGAAAGGGGTGGGGGTGCGGCAGGTGTAGGTTGGTGTGTCGGGTGTAGGGGTATATTCCCGGCGTGGGGTGGTGGGGAGCGGGAGGAAGAGGGAGTCCGGGCTGGAGGGGTGTTGGGCACCGTCGATGATGATCATGAGGAGTATGAAGGAGAGGAACATGAACATGAGGTAAAGGAATTGGCGGGGGGAAGCCCCCGAATGTATGCTCTCATGCTGTAGACGTGTACTAGGGATCATGATATTTCTTTGTAGTGAGGTTTGGTTGCGTGTAGAAGATTGCTTTTGAAATGGAGTTTATAATTCGCTATTGGGATTGGGGAGCTATATAGGGGTTGGGAATATGAACCGTGGCTGGTAGTGGTGTGGTGATAGATGGCCTTTAATTTAGTAATGATCACGTAGAGCTGGGTCCATGGAGCTCTAGCAGCGGAGAATGCATATTGTACGTCTAGCGTGGCTGTTTAGTGATAGATGACCTTGCTTCTAAAGCCATGAGAATAAACGGCTAGTCATTTTATATGTTTTATACTTACCACAGCTACGGTACATTTCTGTCCGCCACTACTCTACCATATAAGAATATGACACATGTGGCTAAGCGGCGTGAGGGCTGCTGCTGCTAATAGTATCGTGATGGCTGCTGCTGCTAATAGTATCGTGATGGCGACGCCAATTCCGGCTACAAAAGTCCAGACCAGTAAAGACACTTCCTGTACCATCTTCCAAAGCCACACTCGTCCTCGACTCCAAAGCTGGAGGCCAACCTTAGACCTAGTGAGCCCGACAAACGACTTTTGCACTAGTAAACCTTATATGAAACCTTATTTCCTGTCCCCTCGCTGTAAATCACCGCCATAAGCTAGTAGCTCTTCTTCTCTTCCCCTACCATCATTTCATCACCTTTATCGTGATATGTCAGCTCTTCATCCTGATAGAGTAGTCTCGCCACTAACTCGATCGATGATAGGTGAGGTTCCTGTCTAGCTGCCAGTAGCAGAAGCAGAGACAGATACACCCACACTACCATAACACAGTCTTCCAATACCTCTCCACGATGCTATCCACCCGCCGCCTCCTCCGCCGCCTTCCCTCCTCAAGACTCCTCGCTCCCCACCCCCGAATCACCTTTATCACCCAGCAGACCAGAAACCACAGTAACTGCAGCGCCGCCGCCCCCATCCCCAAACCTAAATTCAAACCGCCCCCAGCACCATGGACCGTCTACTACACCATCTCTCTCGAGAAACTCTACACGCGGTCCATCCGCGAAGGCACATCCCCCACCGAAGCACAGGCCGTCGCAGACCTGTTGAACAGTGCGTCTAACGATATTGTGCCCGCTGTCACAAGGGTCGTGGTGAGGAATTTGTATGTTAAAGCTTTAAGGGAGCTTTGGGGTGATCGTGATGATGTTGTGGTGGGTGGTGGCGGTGAAGAGATACAGGTAAAGTTAGCTCTCTGGGGTGTTTAGTTGGGCTAGGGACTAACAGCGGCGGCGGTAAGTGTAGAGCAACCGTATGGTATGTACAGGGCTCGATGTACTGCTGGCAATCAAGTACACGCGGGATCCGGGGCTGAAGCGGACGCTGGGGGAGGGATTCGAGGTACTGTGGGGCTTTCCGGCGGGGGAGTGGGGCAGTGTGGAGGAGGGGCGGAGGGCACTGGTTATTGGCGACTGTGAGTGTTGCTCTGGTGTTGTGCTGGGGATGGGTGGAGTGGTGCTAATTGGTTGGTGGGGCGATAGTTACGGATGCAGAGTTGGACGTTGTTAGCAGAGGGGCCTACGCAGCGGCGTTTGAATAGGGGGGTGCGGCGTGGGCTCAGGTGTATTTAGCGGGACCTCCACTAATTGAGCTTGGGTACTGTGAGTGGGGCATCAATTACCAACGCCCGTCGTTCAAGGTTCATGTTAGATCACCGTTTCCAAAGCGTGTCGAGTGATTATCCATGATCAACCCCCTCCCCTACCTACATATTTTACAAACACACCCACCCCACCTCACAGTATAGCTCTGGAGGTCCTGTATCTGGTTTTTAGAGCTGGGAGGAGCCAGGGAGAACGAGGAAGGGGACGGGGAGGGAGAACGGGGGAGGGGCAGAATGAAAACCTAGCCCTCGCGCCAAGATGGCGTTCTCATCCACCGTCCACCGTCAGGTTTGGGGCTTCCGGAGGTGTGCTTACTTCTCTAATAGCTATGGGTAGGCCTATCTAGAGATTGCGGGGGCCGGGGCTTGGTGGGTGTAATCTGAGCGCTCTATGTACCTCCGGCGGCCAGGTTATAGGGGACTTGCCTCCCCACCGTCCATTCCCCATATATTGTCATAGCTCTCTAAGTTCCCCGCGCGGCAGTTAATATATGACATCCTTCTAATTCCAACTCATCGCCAGCATTGAGGAAACAACGCTACGTCTGTGTATAGATAATCGGGGTTGACAGGTGCGGTGCGGTGTAGGTTCACACCTTCACTAGTTGGCGTTGGGGTGCCAATGACCAATGCCCTTCTTTCGGTTCCGTTTTCCAGCCGTATTAAAACCGAGTGATTATCTAGACCACACACCATCCCTCCCCCCCCCCCCCCTCACACACACATACACAAAATCGCCCGAGTATACCCATAGCGAGTACATCATTTTAATCCAGAGATCAGATGAGATGAGCCAAAAATAAAAATAAAAAATAATGGGCGACTCCCGCACTTACAAGCGTTTGGCGTGCATAGCTGGTCTGCGATGCCCAGCTTACAACTACTGCGCTGCCGGCTTCTGTCTGTGGTAGCCCTGTGGTTGATTTTCCCCGGGTCGGGTGGGTGTTGGGTGTGTGGGTTTTTTTTTTTTTTTTTTTTTTTTTTTTTGGGGGGGGGGGGGGGTGGGGGGGGGTTGGCTTCACGACTCACCGCCGGCATGGGGGAGGGAAATGATGATGTAGCTGTGGACTGAGATATATATATACAAACCCGCCCTGCGTATACGCTAAGAAAAAGGAAGAAGAAGCTCAATATATACGAATAAAAACGCAAGAATGAAAGAAACCGGAGAATTTTAAAAAAAACCAAAGAACATAATAACCCCCCCAACACCACCTCCCCACCCCCCTCTCCCCTGTCCCCCACACTACATCAACAACCTCCACACACCCAACAACAGCGCCGCCGTGCCCGTACAAACACCAATCAACCACTGCAACGTGCTAAACTTGACGCTCTCCAGCAAGCCCCTAAGATCACCCACCTCCTTCTCGATGCGGCTGTCCGTCTCCTTGATCTTCAGCTCGTGCACGCTGCTCTCCTCGCGGATCCGCCCCTTCTCGAGGTTCAGGTCCAGCCGCACCGAGCTCTGCGTGCGCTGCATCTCCTCGCGGAGCCGTGCGTTCAGCCGCGCGATCTCGGAGGTGAGGCGCTCTTGCTCGCTGCGGATGGGCTTGAGTTCGCCGGAGTGGACGGTGGCGAGCTCGCTGCGCAGTTTGGCGAAGTCTACTTTTTCTAGGGGGGTGTTAGTGGAGAATGGAGGGAGGGGGGGGAGGGGGGGGGAGGTACGGGCGTAGGTTATCTTTTCTTGGTCCTCCTTGAGTACCATTGTGCGGGTGAGGTTCTGGATACTACATATTATAGCACAGTCCGCCGGTCAGCCAAACTCTCTCCCGGCTGGCCCCCACCACCGAATTAACAGGCAGAACACACCTCTCTTCAATAACGTCGCTGAGCGCCCTCATCAGCGCGACGCTCTGCTCCTCCGAGAACCCCTCCTCCTGAAGCTTCTGCACGAACTTGAGCGTGTCAAAGTGGTGGTCCTTGTGCATGCGGGGCGCCGCATGGAACTGTCTATTCGTCGGCGGGCATGGTGGGGTCCGGCGCTGTAATGCTGTAATTGGCGGGGGTGTGAATGCTGCGCGGGGTATACTGCAAGCTCTAAGGCCGAGGAAGTGTGCGGAAGCTAGGGGTAATGGTGGTTGCGAGTAGCAGGAGAGCCGCTGGGCGGCGTAGCGGATGGACATTGCGGGGTGCGCTGTGAGGTTTGGAGGGCCGGCCGGAGGTGTTGGGTTGGCGGGGACGGGAGCTAGCTAGCTTGGGGAGGGGAGGCCGGGTAATGGGGGATTGGTGATGGGAAGTACAGGCGTGGGTGTATCTTTTGGTACTAATGGTGTGCAGGTAGCTAGCTGAGTTCTTGGTATTTGTGATTGTCGGGTTCGGCTTCCTCGCTGGGGCGTTGACTAGAAACAGGGCTGCCGGATGTCGTAATGCTAGCTACTAACAACTACCTTATTGCAAGCATAGCGACGTCTGTAATTAAGCTAGCTACGTATGAGAGTTCAAAGGTTCAAAGAACACATTCCAGCAGTACAATCTTCCAGCAGAACATCACCTGCAGCACCAAGAATCTCTCGTAGAATCTGTTGTTTTGCGGTCTTTGCCATCTGTTATTAGTACTGTGTTAAGACAGCGAGTTTGGTTGCTTGTCTTGATAATACGTGTTTATTTACCACGTCTTTGTTCGCTGTAAAAGGAGCTTACTCCTTCTGTTCTCATTGATAATTAATTCAATCATACAATTCGATTCCCTTTAGTCTCTTGTAAAACCGCGACCTGAATAACAGAATCGATGCAACCTCCTCATTCAATCCCATCCGCTTCCATCCCACCACCTAGAGCTTCCAATTATCTCTGACATCCGAGTTACTTAGAAACCATTCCCGAATCTAATAGAAACTATCACATATTTCCCAGAGTCTATACTCAACTCGACCTGTCCTGTCAATTGAGGGTGTTGGCCCCGCGTGTCTAGCTTGGCAACCTTGAGAGAGCCGAGTGATTGCCTATGATTCGGGTATCTGAACGAGACTCGAGTGCCCGGGAATGAGAGTATTCTCGTCTCTCGTGTCTTGAGAATATTATATGGATTGTTGTTTTTCACTGGGGCCGGACTGTGTGTCGAGATTTCTACGTCTTGCGGAAATCTCCAGCTATGAACAGCTCTTTGAACTCAGTCCAAACCGGAGGTAATAGTCCATACAGTTATGACTCCACCAAATGCAACTAACCAGTTCTATCAGTTTCAGAAGCAGTATACGCCCACTTGCGTTTATGACTCCGAAACGAAAGTTACCACATGTTGGCCGAGTGAGAATCCATGATGCATTCACCACACACACCACACACATGCAAAAACAGAATCTCACAAGATCACTCGGGCCAAGCCATCTAGAACCGCCCGCCAGGTTCACAGAATCTCCGGCCGCTGCGGTATCCTAACAATCTCGAAACCATATTATTACTATACTCTCAGGAGTAAAAGATGACTACTCGTGCCACCAACGGACGCATCTCCGACAACAATCAAAATCAAGGCATTTCCCATAACTCCCGTTTAGCCAGAGTGCGAGTTTAAAAAGCCTTTTTCTTTTCTTTTTTCTTGGGTCGCTTATTACAAACCTCACTCGAGTATTAGGCTGCTGCATCTCTCGCGGCAACGAGAACATAGTCCAAACAGCACCGAACGATGTCGCAATAGCAAAAAAACATGCGTCACTCGTCTGTGCACTTCCTACTAGTTAAGCGCGCGCCCGAGAGGAGGCCATCAGTTGATCCGGGTAACCCTCGATTCCTCCTGCCGATCCCATCCCTGCGCAATTTTGCGTAAGGCTGCCGGATCCGTCTGAGCGCGCAGCGCAGGGCGGGAAGCTTATTCCACTGCACACGCGCTCATCTCATTCCAGCGCAGGTACACGAGGCAGTACTGTATGTTGCCGTGGAGAAGCATCGCAGGTTCAATTAAGATGCAGGGTCGAGAAAATGCCATGAAACGAAAAAACCGGCGGATTTCATGTTCTTCTTATTCTCTCTGATCTGTCGTGCACGCATGCACAAGGCGAGGGAGGCCTAGGGGGGGGGGGGGGGGTGTTGCCATTATTCCGGGCGCCTAATTAGTTGGTTTTTTTTTTCTCCCCCTGGGGCACCAATATATGCTCATGCTTTCCCGAGCGATGATCGATAATAATTAATTGTCAGCAGCATGAAAAGCTGGGATTTTGTTTCTCGCTCGTGGGGTAACATCGATGGGGCGACTCGGCAGCTTATTGTTTCCCTGGGTGCAGCGCAGGCCGGTGAGCAAGGACTTTGGCGTGTACTGGGGTCAGGGAATATATATATCCCGGGAATATTCTAAAATGGAATTGCAAGTTAGCAATAAAGTTTTTCAATTCCCCCAGATCAACGGATCCTTCAATCGCCAAAAGAAAGACAGGAAGGATATAATCTGGCATATGCGACTCCCTTTTCGCGATCGATCCCTCGTAGGTCAGTTGACTAAAAACCCACCGAGTATGAGGGAACTGGACATTTAAATACGGATAGCTGCTTGATACCAGCACCTATATCCCACGGGTATTAAGAGTTGTGATTAGTCTTCACTCGACCTGATCTAAGCTTTTCGGTCTCGACCGAAGCACCAAACCGCTGTATTGATCAAGAATCTTGTTTTCTACTGCATCAGTCAATTGCACCTTATCAGTGATCATTATTATTATTTACTTGAATACCCATCAGCCAGAATATGCACAGTCTTATAATTATCAACCATACGCAGTCTCCTTCTTTACTCGGTGTTCCTGGAGTACGAGACTGTGCATTCGATTCGTTTCGGGTAAACTATCATTCTGCACAACCCGTATGACCTTGGTGGCAGCATCTAGCTACAGGTGTACCTACATCATCATCATGGGTAGGTACACATGGTGTTCTGACATATTTCTCGCTACCGTTGTATCCGGCACCGTTTGCAGAAGAAGTGGTCCTTCCTGCACTTCCTCTCTTCCCGGTTCCCACGTGGTTGGGTACCAGGCACCCGTGGCGTGGCAGCTCGCCAACAAAGAAAGCTAAAATACCTCATTCGGTACGGGTCGAATAAATTAGCCTTGATACCTGGGTTACGATCCTGCCTGATTTGGGTCTTTCCTGTTGGAACTTATATATAGACTGGTCACGTTCCGTGCACAAATTGATACGAAAGTGGGTTATTCTTGTATTTTGGTGTGGATGCAGGGCCCAAAGAGGCAGCCATGCAGCGATTCCTAAATTAGCGTGCTAAAAGTAAGTGCATTATTTACCACCCCACACTCGCTCAACCTGAGGGGTTTAACCAAGTGGTGTGCCAAGAGTATTGATCTACTCTAGTCAGCCTTTTTTGTTACCAGGAATAGTAGCACATCAAAAACGTATGGATAGTGGAGAAAGTAATGATTTCCTGTCCAATCTTAGGAAAACAGACAGACGTCGGGAACTGCAAGCACGTTTTTTTTTTTGATGATTCACTGTTTGCTGCTAGTAAGTCGCCGCCGCCGCTGCTGCTGCTGGTGGTGGTGGTGCCTTGGGAGACAGCGAAGGTGAACCCCCGAACCGGATCCGTCTCCATTCCCCGGGGAACGACGTAGGCTTTATGTGGCGGTGTCGGGTTTGAGAGATTCCCGTTCGCCTTCGAGCTCTCTCAGCTGTCATGAGCCAGTGAGGCCAGATGCGTACTGCAGATGCGATCAAAAAGCGGTTAGGACACGCAAATAGTTAAAGATATAGATAAAGCTACGAGGTTTTGCTTGTCGCACCAGCAGACTCCACAACCGCATCGATTCGTCCTACCCCCCCCTGCACGCAACCTCCGGCAAATTATTAGTCTCATCTAGTGGGCGTCCACTAATCGGATGCACAACGCTCGCTTGGCCTGTAGGCGCCGACAACCCCTGGAAGCTATGGCCCAATCCCTGCGAGCTTTGGCCAATCCCGCGTAGTCGCAGGGGTCAATGAGCGGGGACATGTCTTTCAATTCCCATTTCCTCCACCACCACCAGACCTCCCCCCATGCATAATGTCGCCCGATTAATATCCATCACATCAACAGAAGAAGGAAAAAAAAAAAAAAAGTGAGAGACGCCTGGCAGGGGAGTAGCTATTAACCCAGCGTGGGTTCCCGATTTACCTCTTTTTGGATACGCACATGTATGCATTTGCCTGTCGGACATCCATTTATTGTTGGTAGCTCGATGTTGGTTGGCCAGAATTTATCTGTTGGTTCAGATACTCTCTAGTCGAATCAATGAGCCCAGTCCCTTCCAGCTAAGTAAAGAAGTAAAGAGCAGTAGTCCAGTGGCCACCCCTCCGCCCGTATATAGTCATTCTCCTCACTTCCCCAATCATCACCTCGGAGACCCCATTGACTGATCTTTTGTATTTCCCGTCATTTCCATCTCTGGAAGGGTATATTATTGTCACCGCGGCGGGGTTTTTTTTCTTTCTCGAACAAGGTACATATCGAATTTCATACGCGTCCTCCCTTCCATCTGGTTCCTCGGTCCTTCCTGTCCAACGGATCAATTGTCTGGCGTTTCCCAGACGGGAGAGTGAATGTGAGTAGTTTCTGATACTCGTGATCGTCCCTTCAAACGGAGAGGACGCTTCTAAAGTACACTGCCTTCCCGGATCCCCCCTTCCCTTCCCTTTCTCTTTCTCTTCTTAACCTGATCCTCATCCTCTGTACCCCCCCCTCCCCTCCCCTCCTCCCCTCGATCCCACCTACCATTCTTTCGTTTATCATTCCACGGTGCCTATCTCTTCCTCTCACTACTATTACTCCGTTAGCCCATCACAGGCTTTTCCATTCTTTCACCTTTTAATACTTGACCTTCGAATCATACCATTCAGTCAAGCTGTGCTTGGCTTACTTGCATAAACTGTCCGATTCTCCTCACATTTTCTTTTGTTTCCTGACGCAGCTCAAGGAGCTGATTGATTAGTTGAAGTGCCACAACGCTTACCCATACCCTACCACTCCAATAGTTAATATAACCAACCCCCCCCCCCCCCTCTCCCGCCCTCCCGCCCTCAGTCATCTTCGCTCCTAGCTCTCTGCCAAAGCGAAAGCGAAGCAGTCCGTGCATATCAACACTAGCAGTAGTAGTGAGCAGCAGCAATCAATACTTAAAAGCCATGACAGCGTCGACCGTAACCCCCTACTCCCCCGTCGGCGACAGTGGCTTCCAGTCGCAGCAGCAATACCACAACCCCCAAGTCGACCCAGAGGAATTCTACCGCTCCACGCCAGAATCACAAAACACCCACCACGACCACGACCACGACCACGACCACGACCACGACCACGACCACGACCACGACCACGACCACGACCACGACCACCACCACGAGCACTCGGCCACCAGCCCGGTATCACCAGCAGACTCACAGGCACCGATCGTGTTCGGCGTCGGGCAGGCACAGGACTACCCACCACCGCCACCATCAACAACAACAACAGTAAACACCCAGCAGCTGCCGTCATCGAGAATGGCCGACAGCAACAACAACACCTCGTACCCGTCGCCCGTCGTGGAGGAGGAGCCCGGTTCGTCGTCGTCGTCGTCGTATCCGCCGCCGCCCACGCAGCCCACGCAGCCCACGCAGCCCATTGCCGTCGATATGTACCGCACGTCGATGGGCGTGGTGAACGGCGAGGTTGGGTCGTACCCGGCCCCGCCGCCGGCGAATAATAGACGGCGGGACCCGTATGCGGGTATGGCGGTGCCCATGACGCCGCTGACGCCCGCGTTGAAGACGCCGACGTTTAGGGAGGAGGCGGATGTGGAGAGGTATTCGTCGAAGGTGCAGAAGTACGATAAGAGGGATTTGGTTAGTTTTTCATTTCATTTTCCATCCATCCATCCATTGTAGAATGATTGTTTGCTAATTGTTTTTTTCTTCTTTTTGGATAGGCCGTCAAGCTGAAAGTCCGCCTCGCCAAGATCTTCCTGCGCAGCATCAACTGCGCCTGCAGCCTGGTCGTGCTCTCGCTCGTGGCCTCCACCTTTGCAATCTTCAACTCCACAAAGCACATGGCGCCGCGCAACAACCTGCCGCCGTGGGCCGTGGCGACGCCGCAGTGGCCGCAGATCGTCGTGCTGTGCATCGCCGTGGTGTCGCTGTGCATCTCGCTGTACATCATGTACGGCTACTGGCGCGGCGGGCACAAGCGCGCCGAGAAGGTGGCCGTGTACTGGACCGTGTTTGCCGTCGGCACGTTCATCTTCACGATTGTCATGTGGGCCATTGCGGCGGGCATCATGCAGGGGAGCCGGAACAGCGCCGAGGGCAAGGACCTGTGGGGGTGGGCGTGCAAGGACAACGTGCGGCGGAAGCTGTTTGAGCAGGACATCAACTACAAGCTGGTGTGCAGGGAGCAGGTAAGCTTTTGGGGCCTATCGACCCTTCCGACCCTTCCGACCCTTTGCGACCCTTCCGTTGCCCTCTCCTTTGCCCTCTCCGTTGCCCTCTCTTTGCCCCTTTCCGTTGCCCTCTCCTTTGCCCTCTCCTTTGCCCTCTCCTTTGCCCCTTTCCGTTGCCCTCTCCTTCCGTTGCCCTCTCCTCTGCCCCCTTCCGTTGCCCTCTCCCCTCCGTTGCCCTCTCCTTCCCTTAGCCAGCCAGCAGCCCCCGTAGCAGCCCCCCCCAACCCGCCCAAGCACAGCCCCACTACCACTAGCCCCCCGTGCCCCAGCTAACGCCCCACCAGGACTGGGTCCTCGTCTGCGCCATCATCGAGATCAGCGTCGAAACAATCACCATCGCCGTCTACGCATTCGCCTTCTACCGCCTCGCCTCCAAGCGCAAGCTGCGCAAGTCCATGGACGTCCGCGACAAGGCCCGCTCCGAGCTCTGGCTCGCCAAGCTGCGCGAGCAGCAAGCCGCCGAGGACCTCGAGGCCCAGGCCGGCTCCTCGGAGCCAAAGACCGCGCTAGACGAGACGGACGCAAACACCGCCTACAACAAGCTCAACGGCACCGGCAACGGCACCGGCACCGGCACCGACCTCTCGGGCGCGGAGGAGGAGGAGGAGGGCCGCGCGGTGGCGCCCGTGCCCGCGCCGATCGTGCTGCAGAGGCCGCCAAAGGGGAATTATGCCACGGCGCCGCACAAGGCCCGGAGGGTGTCGATCTCGCCGCCGAATTCGTCCGGGGATAGGGTCCCGCCGACGCCGCGGTCGGTGAGCTTTCAGGCGCCGCTGTCGGCGACGTATCCGCCGCCGCCCATGTCGGCGACGTTCCCTGCGCGGGTGCCGTCGGCGGGGTCGCAGAAGTGAGCGTGGGGGGAAAATAGTGATAAAACAAGATGGGATGTTGGCATGTTGGCATATGCGGGTATAGTCTCCTCTGGCGATGATTCGCTTTGAGTCGAAGGCAATTTGTTTGGTGGTACATGAGCTTCTTGGTTTTGGTTTTTTTGTTTTGTTTTTATTTATTCTCTGGGTTTTTTTTTTTTTTGTTTGTTTGTTTTCATTTTTCCTTTGTTGGCCACATTATTTTTTTGGTTATTTACAAATGTTGATTATTCTTCTTTCTTCGCTAGTTCCACTTTGGAGGACTTGGAAGTCCCCCTTTGTTTTTGTTTTTTTATACCCCATTTTCTTTTTTGGATACATCTGAGAAATCCATCTCTCAGCTCCTCCTCCCCCTCCCCCTCCCCCCCCACATTGCTCAATACTTTTTTATTTTTTTTCCACATTCATTTCAAAGAGCCTGATCTACTTCAAAGTTAAATACACCCGTTACTTTTTCTGTCAAACTTCAGACACAAAAAAAAATCAATTGTTAAATATTCCCGCCGCATTCCTCCTCTCTTTCGTTTTATTCTTTGTTGCAATTTTTGAGCGCAATTGGGGATTTGAAAAAATTGATATCGTATGCATGTGAAACTGATGTGACATCTAGTTAGCCGTGGCTTCGGTCATATTTTGTTGAAGGCTGAAACTGGGCGGGGGGAGAAAGGTTCGACTATCGAAACCTTCTCATTGGTTTATTTTTAGTGGGGTCATTTTTTTTTTCCAACGTCCGTGGAGGGGGCAGGTACTGTGGGTGGATGTGGATGGATAAGCACCCGCGACGTTATGGGAATATGGTTGCTCAACTTATTAATGGTTGCTTGATATGATTGGATGGTGATGATTTCCGTTTGTTTCTTTGAGGTTTTTAATGTAGATGAAATGAATGAATCTATTAATTAATTAGTGAAAGGTTAGATGGGCAACAGCGGGTTTGAATAATTAAGTTCCATACCCGGGTCTCTTCAGGCCTAGGGCTCTCATGACATAAAGCTCTGGTGTATACATGATGTACGTGCGTTGACGACGCATGCTGACATGACAACGGCCTGCTTATATTTACTCACAAATGTGCACTTTCCCCATAGCCTCAATCGCCTTGGACACACAAACAAAAAAAGCAAGAGGTGGTGGAATATCCTCAGTAATCAAAATATAAAAACTGCAGCTGCCTGCTAAGATGCACGCGGTTTGCTTTCTTCATTAATTAATCGGCAGGATGAGCATCATGCAATATCACTCGACGCCATCGCCACCGTGCATCGCGCACCCACCCCATCGACCAGGTTTCCGGAAAGCACAGTAAGACCAGCACACCGGAGAATGCGGGTATTGATTGACATGAGCGAGTTGACAGCTACATGCTCGCACGTCATGGGCGGAGCGAACCACACGGATCTTGCGCGCGGTTGGTTGCGACGGTTGGTGTTTCAAGGATTGAGGCAAGGGGTGGTGGATGCCGTAGAATGTGTGGCTTTGAGCTGTACTCTATGGCTTTATGGTTTGAACACAACCGCATGTGGTGCGTTTTTTTGACGTTTCGTTCCTGGAGCACCGCGTTACTCAAAGCGTAAGTTCGGCGGTTCATTGCTGTTGTGGAAACTTCCTTAAGAGTTGGGTAGTTGGCGTATTCTTTCTTGAATCGATCACTTACAAGTATCCCCATTCCAAAATCCCTCAGTTTAACCCCCCCAGTTTCAAAACCCGACTAGCGCTAAGGTTTATATCTATGCTCCCTCAGTATATTTGTGATTCACGCCACAGGTTGGTTTTAGCGATTCGCGAAACCTCCCCTCCCGTCCTATGAGTGACAGATAAGGTATGTCCCGTACCACAGAGCGATATTCCTCTTAAAACCGTTGAGTTTGAGTTTACTAGGATGGGGGTTGTAGCCGAGACGGACTTTTGGCCCTTTGTAAACTCTAGTCGATGCGAGTGATATATCATGATTGATATGTTGCGATGCTAGTATATTTCTTGGCACATTCAATTAAATCCAGTCGTATTTGGTTTCATTATCAATCTCTTAACCACGCCAAGGCTTGCAACGGTATTTCCCATATCTTTGCTCCAGTAATCAAATTAGTTTAGTCAACAGTCTTTACGAAGTTTGAGCAATTACAACTCACTCCCGGTGATCCTGGAGAGTCAATAGTGCTCTCAGCAATATGTGTCGAGGATGCCCGCTGTTGAAGCTGAAACCGTCATTGCCCCATGCATGGTGTGACGAATACCCCCAGATTGATTGGGTCTTGGCGTGGTAGATATCGGTAAGTCTAACTCCAATAAATAAGAATATGCTATGTCATGATATAGTCTAGCAGTCAACATATATTGTGCTTGAAACGAACTTTGAGTGGGTATAGGCTGTAGTTTAGAAGGAAAGGTACTTTACCGCCCTTATTGAATTACCTCCCCGAGATAGCACAACGAAGCTCCCCCAGACTTGGAGGAACTTATACCCCCTGCAGACTTTGAGGGTTTGATCGATGGTGAAGGAGCAGTTGGTGACAAGGTTAATAAAACGTTTGATATAAGTAGATGGGGAGTTAGTAAATTTTGCTAGATTTTGAAAGGGTTTTTTTTGGTGTATCCCATAGCATGAGATATCTGCAGGTGTTTCTATAACATATATTAGAAACCGCCGATGAAGCCTCGAGCATACTGGGTTAAAATGATTCGCCTTTCTCAAGGGTATGGCCGGTAGGCCCTTCAAAGGGCGGGCAGGGCCTCTTAAAGAGCACATCCTTAATTACCCCAAGTAGTCTTAGAGACTGTTATTCTCTGTAAGTCGTACTGTACTGGTTCACTTATTAGTAGCAGCGACAACAAGCTACGGGAGCGTACTGAGATAGCGTAGTTGTTGCGAGACTGACCACATAGTTATACCCAAGACTAGATGAACAACTCTGTTGATGATATGAAGTTATCGATGCTATAGCTCTAGCGGGGCAGTGAATGAGCTGGGGTTGGATTAAGGGTCACACCAAACCAAAAAGCCATGCGGTAACGTCATTACGTAATTACGATGGTAAGTTAGATTGTATGTCTACGGGTTTTAAACCCTTTAGTGCCTCAATATCTATTATTCAGGTCGCGGTTTTATAAAAGACTGAAGAGAATCGAATTTTATGGTTGAATTTATTAACGAGAACAGAAGTAACAAACTCCTTTTATAGTGAACAAAGACGTGATAAGTAAATACGTATGATCATCAAGACAACCAAACTCGTTGTCTTGACACAGTACTAATAACAGATAGCAAAGACTACAAAACAACAATATCTACGAACAACTCTCACTATCAGACATGCCACGGTCACTCTTTTATCAAGTTTTTAGTGTTGCATGCGGCGGCGAGTGATCTTTTATGACGCAAATAACTGACACGTTAAGGTTGCGGAGCGACCCTTTGCGAGGATACCACATTTTATTTTCAGGATTTCTCATGAATCGGCCACCTTTATTATAACTTGCATTATCTGGAAATAAAGAAGCTGAACCCCTCCCATTCGGCTGCAACTGTAACATCTCGCTCTTATTTTTATTCAACACAAGTACGTCCCCACTCCTTCGGCAAGCAACGCGACCTCTCAGACAACTATTCAATCACTCGTGAGATATAATAAATGTCAGGACAACCAGTACGTAAAAATCTACCTCTCTTGCCCACAGATGGAGTTCCAGGTACCCCCCTCGGTCCCAACACGTCTCATGAGTCTAGACTTCCTGCAGGTCAGCTTGAGGTTGAACAGGAGAGACATGATTCCAAAGTGATGAGATGGCTCATAGCCTCTTCTGAAGTGGGAAGAGGGCATGACTATGACCCAGATTTGAATGAAAATTCTCCGCCGCATCGGAAAGAGCAAACTCGGCCGGATCCCAGGAACGAGTTGCAACGGAAATTAGACCAGGAAGCCGAGATGGAGGAACGCCTGGAATTTGACACTTGCTCTGTGTCTATGGAGGCCATGTCTCTTGATCCCGGGGGTGTTTATGCTGAAGATAATGAGACCTCCCCCCACGAGAATGAGAATAGGGAGACAGGTGGTATTGAATCCCAGCCTGTTGAAGCTGAAGATAATGAGACCTCCCCCCATGAGGATGAGAATAGGGAGACAGATGGCACCGAACCCCAGCCGGTTGAAGCTGAAGTAGAGGAGGATTTCTACCAGGAAACACACGACGAGAGATACAAGCAATATAAATTCTGCCCTCGCACAATAGCGACTCCCTATAATACCACTCGGGAAACAATACGAAACACTCCTAACAAGAAGATCTGGCGCGTACATATCCGTCACTGTGGAGGAATCTCAGTCCGACATGGTACATGCCGTACATACCATGATGTATCTCGCAATTATCCTGTACAAATACTATTCAAACTACACGAGGAAGGGGGTGGGGCACCAAAAACCCGAAGGTCATCTCTCCGTTGTGCCGGTTATTATGAGGAAACTGAGCCAGGTTGCCTAAAATGGGTGCCTGAGAGCGGGGATGAAGTGAAAGTGAACTCCAGGGATTTGACAAAGATCCGACACTCTAATTGGAAATCTCGACATCAGGAACTTTGGCTGGAACTATCATGGGATCCGGATCCGGAAGAGGAGGTGGAGAAGAAGCGTCCGAGCGAGTGTAGGGTTGCTTAGTGTACTATTTGCTAGTATTTTCTTTATCTGAGTTGACGTCACGTGTGATGGGCAAAGTTTTCCTCGAGTTAGCTTTGTGTTGTAGCCAACGCACATTAAGCAGGAGGAAGGAAATCTTGCGGCCCGAGAGAATACACTAGTGGTATTGGATTAGTTTGTGGTTTAGGTCCCCTCGAATCTCAAGACACTGATTTCAACTCAATTCATTTTGTAAAATTACGAGAGTTGAATCATTAGTCATCTTTAACTATTGAATTCAACAGTTAGTAGCTAGGCCTTTTATTGTTTTGCAGAATAAGTACATGTATACGTATATCATTTGAAAAAAAAAAAAAAAGCTTAATATTGGCTCCTGGTGAGTGCATGTAGTTAAGTACACGTATTACACTGGAACCTTAAATAGGCCATACTCGTACTCATCACTGGATCCTGTTTTATCATAAAGGCCATCATCACCAGCTTCAGTGCAGTCAGTCTCTACTCATCAGCATCAATGCCACCCAAAAAGTCTGTATTAGGACCTGATGTCACTAAACAGAGAAAGTTTAAACCCCCACTTCTTGCCCCGCCGCCGCCGCCGCCGCCATCGCCGCCAGCAGCAGCAGCTTCCTCTGACGATGAGACTACTGGCTCCCAGGAACCGTCACAGTCACAGCAGGGAGAAGATGAGATTGCAACTCTAAGTAAGATCTTAGAGAGTATGATGCAAGCTGTACGTGTATCCTTATCATCTACTCTACACTGCATAGTATTAAGACAGTCGAGGATCATAGTCGAAAGACCGCCGAGCTCGCCGCCGTACGGAAATAGAAGACGCATATGAAGTGGATTTTGAGGCTTCTGAAAAGAAGGCAAGGCAATGGATTCAACTGGTTGCGGCTCGGGAGTGAGTTGCTGTTCCCAAACCCCCTGGGCCTCAATTTAATTTTTCTCTGACAGCGGGGTGGGGGGAAAGGAAGCGTCGTCAACTTATGGTATTGAAAAGACTTAAATCTCTATTGGAAAAGAAGAGAGCAGTTGAGAACGACATAATTACTGCACTAGAGGCGCTGAATAACGCTTGTGGAGACCTTGGAGATACGTTGAAAGCAGTTATTACAAATCATGGAGAGGCTGGACGTGATGAACCAAACTAAAGAAAGATATGGCGATGATTAAACATATCTTTAAATTGTTCTTTAATTGGTATCACCATAGGAATTGCAGATGGCGAGGCTGGTCGAAATTATTTGCGTTAATACAAAAGACCTGTGCTACGAGTGATTTTTGGTGATTCCAGTCCACGAAAACACGTGATTTCTTAGAGGCAAAAACTATCGATACCGTATTTCGATTAAATTGTTGATGCCAAATTATGAATAAACTCTACCAATTAAAAGCTCGATCCTCCGTCAGCAACTTTGTATTGTAGTCTAAAAACACACTAGTGGAAGGGGAGGTTACTAGACTAGCTAAAGGCCATGGCGGGTGGCTACATCACATTTAGCCTCCTCCTTCTCCTCCTCCTCGGATTTTCTCTGTCTCATCTTCAGTCTGAGGTCTAGCCAGTGCGTCCATCCACCGCAAGAACAGCACAGCGAGTTCTCACAGCACCGCAGACACCAGCACTCTCTACCACAAGCATCACAAGCTTAAGAATCATGTATTACAACACCCATCCCAACAAGACCAATGTTCTGCCCAGAAGTATGTATGCTGTTCTGTGTTTGAGCTGCAACTAATATTAACTCGCATAAAAGGAATTAACACGTAGTAGATGCACCGATGCGGAATGATAATTAACACATTTCAAGGTAAACTTAACCTCCCCCAGATAAGTCTCGTGCTCACTCTCTGGAAACAACATGTAACTAAATTTGGTGTTTATGGCGCTTTAGCTTTCCTATGAAGTCATATCACCAACCACCAAAATAAGGCCCGACGAAAGAGGCGGGCACGAGACAACAGTTGCCATGAAACGCGGTTTCTGTTCATCACAGTACATGGAGCTTGGATTATACTAGATCTGGCCGAACAAACCAGCTCAAGGCCGAGGTCAGCGTTGAAAGCCTAGATTTCTTACCTTTAGGTGAAGAATCTGGAGGTATACCACTTGGCGGGCCGAACCGCGACTGAATCCACCCGGAAGCCTCTCGAATGTCAAAAACGCAATGCCGCCTCGTGGTCGGCTCACTCGAACCATTGATACACTAAATAATATTGACCCGAAGAATGGGGACCTATGTTACTTTTAACAGGCCGCGGAGCGAAGTTGGAGAATCCATATATCATACAAACTGTGGTTCACGCCCAGCCCCCACAACAAAACTTGAGAATCTAGACCCCTCAATCTTAAGGAAGTTCCGTTTAATAATCTTTGTTGGAATCTCGGCCGCGAAGTGTTACTTGTTTCGGTTTTGGTACGAAGAGTCAGGTACTACTATTGGTTGGTTGTTGTTGGTTGTTTACGGTCTCAGTTTAAGGAGAGTCCGCGTTTACCCGGATATATACAAGTCGGAAATGCTGCCCCCGTGACACTACATTACACTGATTGAGTGGGCAACAACTTTATTCTAGGGCTGAGACTCACGCAGATCCATCTTCCCGACAAATCTCGTTTATGGGAAGAGATTGCCGCGGGTGTGTTGGTAACAGCGGGAGCGCTTCCGGTGCGATTCTTTCTGGAAGGAAACGAGAGATTAGATATTACATATCACAAGAAGATATCGATGACGGATAACAAATAACCTAATTAACTGGATGGCTATGACGGATGCTAGAACGGATTATTCTACACCCCCTATTGGCACCATGTATATGTACTCTTCCAACAGCCCTTTGAACGTGGCGTTTTTGGCTTTAAACCACAACAGATAAGTTATCAAAGAAATGAACATCGCATATTAGAATCAATGTCGCTTGTACAATCGCCCTATCGGACATTAGAATCCATTAGCTTGAGGCCTATTAATTAGGTAATACGCACGCGTTCACAAAAGTCGAATATTGAGACTGGAAATGGTTACTGCACACATTACCCGGCCTTGGAACGAAAATGCTAGGCGACAACATCACAATTGAGACGCGCCTAGCTGAGACCCCTGATATCAATATTAATTATTATAAACTTTGCCGAGGTAAAGGGAAAAGGTTTCGAGAAACCCAGATCATGAATATTTTGATCGTGGCTATCATGTTTGCTCAATTGTTCCACAATCCCTTTTTTCTTTTTCATATGCTCTGATCAGAGCTCGTGAAGAACGGGCTTCAACACGATGATCTGAAATACCATCCATCTGGATTCTGGACTTTACTAATATCGCTACTCCCAAAATTCCTACAAGTGGTACTCGCCTAAAAGAAGAAATCCCTGATTTCCCACTATAGTACTATTCCTAGCAGTCGCCGCCTCAACATGCTCTAGTCATAGTACACCAGATCTAGACATCCATTACTGGACCAATCCGTATCTACCGAGATAGGCGCATTGGCTGTATGTACATAGATACATAAGGTCCCCCCCCAAACAACGACCGAGCGCAAACCGAGATTGCGTATCGCGGAAAAGCCTGAAATACCTACAGCTTCTGCCTTAACTTTCGGGTCACGGCTCGATGCGGAAGCCATAGTTCAGAGCGGGAGCGGGGAGATCGATCTTGATTCTTCGCTAAAAGAGATGATTATTGCATTTCGGATTCGAGCCGTGGCCGTTGACCGTGTTCTTTAGGCACCCTAGAATTGTCCGTACATAAGCCAGCCCGAGACTCTGAAGTGCTCTGCTAAGGAAGTTCTTGGCAAAACACATGTATCAAGACTCCGAGCGGATACTACCTACCGAAAATCCCACTCTTCCAAAAACCCCTTCACACACACAGAGGCCAGAACAATTCATGCCACTCTAACAATGCGCGTAACAAACACCCCCTAACGATACACCCCTAACAATACACGCCGTATTAGGAAGATCACAATACTCCGAACTAACTGTGCGGAGGGCGGTTGGTTGATTTTTGCCCATGTACTCTTGGACCGCTCTCTTTAGCTCTTGATATCGGTCGGACCATCTTAACAAGCTCATCCGACACCGAATCGAAGGTCTCATATACCGGGCTTCGTCCGGCGTTTGCTCAGTTCAAGAACTCTATCTCCGCGCGTGAAGAGGCCTCTCGGCGACTAAGCAGAATGTTTCATGATGGTTAGGGGGTATTTTTGTTCCCCCCACCTTCGGAATCGGAATTGGAGATTCTATGCAGTGTATGGAAGCATTTCTAAACCAGAAATCCTAAGGCTGGACTTTTTTTTTTTAGATATGTGGACTGGGTGCATCGGAGAATTATTTTCATTCACTAGTTATCACTCGGTTGTGGTGACTTTTTTTTTACCAACTCAGGTATCCACTGTCAAGGATCGATTCTAGAAATTCGAGAATTGTAATTAAGACTGTCGAGTTTCACCAAACCGGGACTCTCCTGCAATACGTTATATTACTGGTACGTACGTGCCTAGGCTCTATGGTGTTGTATCCCACGAAGTTTTATATTTGGAGAATAATGACCAATATGTACATAGAAAGACTTCCAATTGCAACTCCATGACCTCGATCCCACATCAACTAATCTTATCAGATGGGAGCCTACTGCTTAGCAGTAAGTAAATTAGAATAAAAGGCTCCAAGGTAGATCCGACGATCATAAGCTTTCAATATAGCTCTGCTAATGAGAATTTGTCGGCGGACCGAGATCTCGGCCCATTCACCTAGGCTTTGGCTATGCCGCGTTAATAAGTGAATCCAAATATCACTCACAACCGCTAGCTTCTGGCTAGTGATGATACAACCAATGAAGTATCTATCTACGCCCCCCCGACCACCGATGTTATGTTTGAAGGCCTTTGCCCACGTAGGTATGTACCCCAAGCGGCACTTTGGTGTTGTTGGTAAAGACCAGTTGCTAACCTTTATAGTATGGTAGTTTTTTTGCAAGTGAATTAGAGAGTCATGTAGATTCCCTTTAACGGTAGATTTTACTTTCCAAACTCAGCTACCATTGAGCATCATATCATAGAACAGACTCCCTTCCCCGTCCGGCATGTGCTTGTCCGTTCCTGTTTGTAATTACAATTGTGTCACTGACGGCTAACTACTGAAGTTTATGTAGGCGCGCCAACCAGCCGGTCCAACACGGGCGCGGGAAAACGGGCACAAGGTGAATCCATGAGCAAGCGCAGAAACCCGTGCACAAACCAGGTATGAGATCACCATCCCCCCTCATTCTCATAGTCGGGGTCTCCTATTGCTCCTCGTCCTGCTTCTCTGGCGTCTGGATAACGTTCTGTCCGGCAATATAGTCAATGAGTAAACGAACTGAACGAATGTGGAGCTCTGTATGCATGGTAAAGGTCGTTTGAATTTGGTAATAACCTAAAAAACACATCGATCCTTGGTGGGAAATGATCCATTGGGATACCCTATCACATCTATCATTGTTTCCCAAGCGCCGGGCGCTGCAGGGAGAGGAATGTTCCATAGTATGGTGCTACATAGGCCTACAAATAATAATTTGTTGAGAGGGGTTTTTTTTTTTTTTTTTCTTCCGCCATGGCGATTGCCAGAAGGCCAAGTATTGCTCAAGATCGAACAAAAACAATTTCAAATTAGAGTCAAAGGAATTGATTTAGCCACTAGGAGTGGCTTTGATCTGAAATGATTTTGCAACTGTGGCTATTAAGCTATCATGCGCGCACAGAAATAAGTACTCATACGGTAGTTGGTTAGTTTATATATACTCTATTACTCTTGCGGACCGGGCCGATATTACAGGATTAAACCCAACCTTCTCTCGTCTTGTGTATCGTAGTAGTCTAGTAGAGGAAGACAACATCGCCATCCCGCTGGCCTGACTGGTCGATTATATCTAGTTCTAGACCGCAGCCTATACGCAACGGTAGATGATCACGGTGTTTACATAGTGCTCCGTGCGAGGCTGCCGTCCAATGAAATCCTGTGACCCGGTCGCCCGGAGAACGGGTCGGACAGCCCATAAATTTAAGGATCACGGGTGAGAGTGTGGGCAAGAAGATAGGATGAAGGTTGTGAGGGATTAATATTAATCAGGAAGGGAATAATATTTGGCTAGATTTGGGAGGTTTTTCTAACTGGCTCCTGTCGAAGGGGGCGTGGAAGGGGGTGGGAATATGATGAGTCTCATCGTGGAAGGAGCAGAAAGAAATAAAGAAGAAGGAGGAAAACCTTAATGTGGTTGAGGGTACCGTGAAAATGGTATAGGAATTACCGTTTATGGGGTGTTGGTCAACCTTGAAATGAAAACGTTTTGAGGATCTGGGTATGTAGATGCTCTATCTATGTAGCCCTGGAGATCAATCTCACCGATCGAGTCAATGATATGTTTTGACAGCATATTGGGGGGGGGGGGGGGGGGGGTGGCCCCATGCACAGATGAGGAGATTTGGGAGGACAGGACAGATTGTATTTGTTGAGAACCAAATACTTGGCCTACTTATGATTCACCAGCTATCCAGAGAGATATGCACTGCATGACGGTGGTATTTCGGCTTTCTCCCCCTCGAGGATTCGAATATTAATCCTGACTACTGCTATTCTAAACCGCCCCCCGCCCTGCGCGGATGTTCGTTGATTAATGTACGAGTTTAGTGGGATAATTGTAATCAGCTCAATAGTTCTCTCTCTTCTCATTGCATCCAAGTGTGGAGTCTACTATCTAGCTAACTTATGCATCGTGATGGGATGAATGAGCAAGTATTATATTCACACATGGCCAGTGTTTCAATTATGTGAATGTAGATTAGGTTTTTCTCTCACTCTCACTCGACTCACTGACTCTCCCGGCAGCTTTTTCTGAGGGTTCAAATAATGTGTGATCATACCAATGCGTGACACAGTACTAGTGCTAGTGAGTACTCGCAGTGTGCAACCCGCATCACACTCATGATCCAACATCTTTCCCAGAAGAGGGTACCGCCAGATTAAGCATCGACAGAAATGGGCTCATCTTGGCGATTCGAAAATAACGGGCCCGAACCCTCCTCAGTTGTCAGCGTGCATTTGTTATTTGGGAGTGGGGGAAGGGAGGGAACATGTCATGACGTATTGGAAGTGAACCCTCTAAACATGGTATGCAAGGTAAAGGTAAGGTAGGTAGCCTACCGTTGCATAAACATTACTCTACCTGCCCTGGGCACATGTCCTAATATGTCTACAAGCACTACTACCTACTCTACCTACTACCACGAGTGATGGATAGCTGCAGAAAGTTGAAAAACCACACTTTGGAACTCGTAGAGCAGTAGCAGAGCAATAGCATATGTTGAATAAGTACATACCTCGGCAGATACCATGGCCACCACCGCTCTAACCTCCTCGGAAAGCCAGCTGCACGTAAAGTACCTACTAACCCGTATAACAATGCTAACAAAGTCGATACCTAGAGACTAGAGTACATGCGACTGTACATACAGTAGCAGATAGATCAAGCATCAAGCACTCTAAACGTACCTCCACGTAGATAGAGCGTTAGAAATATACTAAGGGTCCTCATATCAACCGGAACAACCACCCACCCCAATACCTTTCTACTTCTACTACCATACCTCAAGGCCACGATACCTCTTAATTTACGGCCCAGGGCCTAGAACCACCTCCCACCGAGCAGCCGGATCCGATCCGCAAAAAAGCAAAGAAAACCGGGGGAGGGAGACGAGGGGGTGTGTGTGAAGGGGAACGCAAGAAAAAGCAAAGCACGGCGCGGCGGCCACTACACGTCATGGACGTATCGTCGGGTTTAGGTTCAGGTGTGCCCTGCCTACATATCTTACCTACTCTATATTTTTTGCATGAGGAGGGAAGGATGGAAGGATCGAGGAAAGTCCGTATATAGAAGTAGGGTTAGGTAGGGCCATGGGTCTGTCTATCTATTTACATTACTACCCCGCAATGGCATTTTTTCTCTGACAGCCAGCGCGAGTGGGGCGAGGGGAGGGGGAGAGAGGGTCTAGAACGTGAGAGATGAGAGAGTTATATTGGACCGGATGGCAAGGCTCCTATCGTGCTTCTTTGCTTTCTTTCTTGACATGATAACCACGTATGTATTTGGAGATAGCTGGATGGGTTGATCGGGGTCTGATTTGAGGAGAGGAGAAGCGGGCTCGCGTGTAAGTGCGAGATAGAGTAGGTACTCTAGAGGTTGTAGAGCATCTAAAGAGGGGAAAGCAAAGCAAGTCGGTAAGAGAAGAGCGGAGTGGAGTGGAGTACTCATCATGCTCTATTCTATTCTAGGTATGTAGAGGACCTTTACTCCACTCGGGCAGATAGTTGATAGTGTTTGGCTGGTTGGCTGGCCGAGTCTATTCCACCCATGTTGGCCTGCCTACCTAGAATAGAGTAGGTGCTCTACCTAGCAGCTACATCTCTAGAGTATCTATCTTTACTCTAGAGTATCTATCTTTACTCTAGAGTATCTATCTTTACTCTAGAGTACCTACTCTACTCTACCTGCTCTACTCGCTCGTAGGTACAGTAACTACATGTACACATATATCCACACATCGACTGGCTGGTGGTGAACAAGTGCAGTAAGGTCAGTGTGTCAGTTCAGTTCAGTCCAGTGCGCAGATCTGCACTTTACTCGTGTCAATGCCGGAACGAGTCGGGAGGGTTTGGGAAAGCGTAGAGCAGAGCACCGATCTAGCCAGAGCTGGCTTCTAGAGTACCTACCAACCTACCAAACCTACCGCGCGACCCAGCGACCGGTATATACTCTACAGTCTCTACCAGTGACAGAGAACTCCCATACCCGTCGTGTGGAACAACTGCATACATTACCTACATACATACATCTCTCGCTTCCCCGGTCCCTTAAATGTCTGGGCGTATCTACTCGTTCTGGGGACGGGGTCTAGACCATTGAGGCCCTACTTTGGGGGGTGCCGGGTTGCCGTATGTTATGTGTGCAACCTCACTCATCATCGGTTGGGGAGAGAGGGAATACAGGCGAAGCGACAGTGGGCGTTTAGGTCGTCTGCGATGCGATGGTTGGAGGTTGGAAGAAGCAGAAGAAGCGAGGTGAGAGTGCCTTAGGGTATACGCGGTTGACGCCTTACTGCTTTTTCTTTTCTTTATTTCGTTCACTGTGCTGGGGGGGTGGGGAAAAATAAACTTGTAGTGAGTGTAGGACGTGAGAATAAAGTAATCAGGGTTCGGTCGGGGGGATAGTTAAGGGGTGGTGTGGGTGGTTGACACCCTTTGGTTGTTACTGTTCCTGTCCCTGTTACTGTTTCTGTTGCTACTGCTGTTGCTACTAAATGCTAACTACCACCACCCCATGTAGTTAGACACACCCTCTCTGCTTTCGTTGTTGGGTTGGGTTGACAGCATTGGGTTAGACACACTTGGATTTTAGCATAAGTGACTGTCTGATTGTCTGATTGATTGACTGACTTGGCTTAGGGCCCCGCGGAGTGTTGGGCGTGGGAGCGAAGGAAAGGAAGGGCGTGCGTGTGTGGTTGATGTCTGTCGTCGATAGGGATAGCAACTCCGTAATAAGGTTCGATATGGTAAACATTACCCTCCTGAATTTGCCCATCGAATTTGTCGATTCCTTCCCCTCGACCCCCCTTTTCTACTCTAGAGCACTATTGTACCTACAGACAGAAATGATCAGATAATAGGGAAGGCGAATTGACAATCCTCGATATCTGTGCGTGAATTACATACTCAATTAGAGTAGAGTAGACTTGCGTGAGCGAGCGAACGTGTTTCATGATAACTCATCATCGACGTTTTCTGATATTCTATAATAGCTCTCTTTTCTTTTCCTTTGTTTTGCTGCGTGCGGCAATGGCGACGAGTCTTGCGCTAAAATGAGTGTCGTTCGTGCGGAGGAAACAGTTTCTACATACAGGTACAGACATACATACTGCATGGGATGTCTCTTTTTCTATGATAGGCTGCTCACTCACGACATGTGTAGAGTACTGTCGCGTCTAAGTTACTCCCTCACTTCCTTTCATAATCCATCATTGGCCCTTCCTTCACTGGAGTACAGCAGTCCCCAACCGCTGGGTCAGCCACCGGGAAGGAAGGGTTCGGTTTGTCCTCGGGCGACCGCGTTTCGGGGTCGGTAGTTTCTGGTGATAGTTGCACTTTTCTTTCTTTCTTCCTCTTTTAACCAACCCGTTCCTTCGCGGGAAGAGTGAGGCGCGCGGGGAACGTAAACGTGAGTGAGTGAGGGATTGCGGGACAGACACCTGGACGGGTACATGTAGAGTAACATTAGGAACTTTACTCTAGAGTCGAGTAGAGTGCTCTAGGCAATATCAAGGGAGATATCTCAATTCTACTATTACTCTAGCTAGAGTAGCTAATCTAGCTAGCTACGGTACACATGGAGTTTTCCTTTATGAAAGGGTCTCTTTTGTCATGGGCCTAAAAGCTTGGTGGGGTTTGGATTTCTTGACCATGATGCCGCGACGGTATTCACCATGATTAGCCCTTGGCGGTACGGGTTTACATAGAATATTACTCTACCACTGGCTACGTTCCCGTTCTCGGGGCGACGATCTTTATTAGCGAGGGATTACATTTGCCGCGTCGGGGAGCCACTACAGGACAGAAATTAGCGAGCGTGCGTTGCGTTGCTTGCGTTGCGTTGCTTGCGTTGCGATGGGAGACAACACAAAACAATGCAACCCTGCGCTTAGCTAATGCTTGCTACATGAGCCATGAGCCAGAGAACAATAGGCAGAGAGAAAGAAAGAGAGAGTGTGTGAGGGTGAGTATTGTATTGTTGTATTACTACACGCTTCAACCTCGGCGCGACCAGACAGAAGTACAGTCAGTCAGATCAGCGATTAGGTAGTCGTGTTGTAGATATCGTAAGGGCACACCAAAAAAGTTCCAGGGCCACCGATGCGATGGACGACGGTCTAGAATTTCAGATGGCGGGGGGGGTGGAAAGGGGATTAAGGGAATGGATGGGTTGTAGGGTTTCTTAGGGGGGGGTGTAGGGTGGTAGGAAGGCATGATGACGACCCGTACAGGGATTTATTTACCTAACGAAATGGGAAATCAGTGGGTGGTCTAGGCCCGGGTCTCTGTAATTTTTTTTTCTCTGGTCGTTGCTGCTCTTTTTACTTTCGCGCGGGACACCCGACACAGGCAGCAAACCCAGGTACAAAAGTTTAGATTAGATCGCACACATGAGCTTTAGCGCGCACCTTGTCCTTACTGTTGAGCTTTTTTCCTTTCTTTTTTTTCCTTCACTCCCATTCTTTAAATGGTCAGTCAGCCTATTTTCAGACAGGTGCAGGGCACTGGCTGGGAAAGGTGATGTTATGTAGCTGTAACTGGTGCACAGATGTAACTTAGAGATGTAGAGTATGTACATATCGTAGCACAGGCTGCATAACATACATATGTAGGATAGGCGTGAGGTTTTTCTTTCTACACACGCTTCGCTGATCTGATTCTGATCCTGATCTGCTACCTTTACTGGGGGAAGAGAAAGCGTTCCGAGGGAAAAGGGGGGGGGGGGGGGGGGGGTGAATTAAAGTGCACATTTTATTTTTGAATTGATACGCCGGATGATGAGTATCATGTAGGCATCAGCAGGTATATTATTTTGGATTTTTTGGGGGAGGGAAGGGAAAGGAAAAAAAAGGTCAGCGTGTGAACGAACGCGCTCAGGTGGTTTGAAAAGGAAGACATGAGAAACGTGGATCGGACTCGACCGCGCGCGAACGAGGGAGCCAGAATAATGTATGTAGTTAGTTAGCTAGCGATTAAAATTTCAAGGACTGGCTGGGCTGGGCTGGCTTGCTGGCTGACTGGGCGAAGGGGCAGAGGGGGAGGTAGTTAGATATGAGTGAGAAGCTCTCTTTTGCCCAGAGAAGGGCAGGGCGAATGGGTTAGAAGCAGCAAACCGCTGGAGGATCCGAGACGGTCCAGACCACGATAGAGAGCGGCAGACTCGGCTGTGTGTCGCACCAGAACGTCGAAGAGACGAGGACAAAGATCGCCGGGCCATAGGGGGTATAACCAGCAAAGACCTCTGCCCCCCACAACTACCCGCAGCCTTACGATTTGGGAGCAAAGGAGCGAATGGGAAGGGTGAGTTATGAGTTATGAGTTATGTGAAGAAGAACTGCAGATGAGTGATGGGCCGAGGAAAGGGCATCACATTCACAACACAGTAGAATCCTCTAGCAATCTGTCGGTAGGGCAGAGAAGCGCTAGGTCGTACACGACCCGTAACTGACCAATCATTTGTTACACATCACCAGTCACCCACGAGTCACCATGTCACCGACATCACCTACCCTACCCAAGAAGGAATCATGTAGGGTTTTACGGCAGGTGAAGAAAAGTAACAGCACGCAAGCTGGTGAATCGGCGGCTGGCGGCGCAAACTTCATTCCAACGCCCTTTTTTTTCCTTCTATCCCCTTCCCGGCACCTAGACCAGCAGCAAGCTAGAGTCCCAACCAGCCCAAAGAGCCCACCCCCGTCAGCTAGCCAGGCCAGCTAAACAAGCCAGCCCAGCCAGCCCAGACAGACATACAGACACGCGGGTACCTAGTCTGGGGATCTTTCCTCTTCTAACGACACCCCCCTTCTCTCTATTACACCTACCTGCTGTTGTCCTGCGGCCCCCCAGTCACTCACTCATCTGAGTGACAGACCAGACAGACTACTACTCACTGAGGAGGAATTACTCGCTAGAGCCCAGATGAAAGTCAGGGGCGAATGAGAGATCACGAAACACGAGACACAAGACAGTCAAGTCAGCAACTACTACTACTTTGGAAAGGAAAGGGTGGAAAGCATACCTGGGCAAAAGAAGCTAAGAGGTGGAAAATAACAACCCCAGAAGCCACAACAACAACCAGCAATTCCTCGGGAAGGAAGGGTAGGAGAAAGGGACCAGACTGTTGCTCAGTCAGTCACTTGGAAATAAGAGCATACAGGCAAGAGGCAAGAGGCAGGCAGGCAGGCAGGCAGTCATCAGTGGTGTTTTTCTGTTTGATAAGAAACAGAAAAAGAGCCTGCAAAGTGGCTTTGATATTCTCGTGAGAGACATATCTCGTCCCACGGTGACCAAGAAAAGAAACGTCCATCCATGCATTCGTGCCTGACTAAACTGCTCGTTTATCAACTTATCCCCCATATTCCCAGTATCGTGGATATTCTGTACTATTTCGCGTGCTTTTCAAGCTACAGCTTTATTCTTCAGATCAAAATATTCCGGAATAATTCCCTCCCCGAGACACATCGTCAGTCCGCCACCCGTGATCCGATACAAATATCCAATTCCAATTCTTCATTCATCGTTCCGGGCACCAGTGCCAGGAGCAGAAGCATCGCCTTGAAACCTACCCCTCCACTCCCGTCCATTCGCCAACGGTCTGGACAATCGGAATCCACTTGCATTTGCGGATCGTCTCCCGGACGAGGCCTCTTATGACCAAAAAGACCTGTGGCTAGCTGTTTGGTATGTACCTCTCTCTGCATTAAGCTCTTTTCTTTTTTCGTCCTCTCCCTCTCGATCACCTATTATCCTCCTCTCCTCGTGTGGACACTAATTGTACCACCTTGCCTACGACAGACTTAGAACGAGAACACAGGGGAAGAAAAAAAGAAAGGAAAAAAAAGGGTAGGTAAAAATTTAGGTGAAGCGCAACAACCAGAAATACCTAGGGTTATACATATATCTCATCGAGGAAAAAAATAACCCACTTCGTCATTGCGCTGCGCAATTCCTTCCGAATCATCAAATAAGCACAGGTACCGTGGTAGCCTATTCGACCACCCGGAAATCAGCCTCCACGTATTTTACCCACGCACGAACGAACGCCTTGAGATATACATACCCACCTTCATCCTGCAGAAGATCCTTTTGGTCACAGATCACATTTACTTTAGAGCAGTCTAGGCAAGGCACTTCTATTCAACGCCTACCACCCCTCCCCCCCCCCCGTCTGCATAACACCGTGACAAGACGTCAACCGTTTTTGCCGGCCCCAGGTTAGATAGTATCGTTCAAATACTCGGGTGGTGACCTCTGCCACCCACTTTCGAATGAATGCAATGGACGCGGAGAAGAGCCTCAAGTCTTATGAGGCCTACGACCACGATCCTTATAGCCGTGCTTCGCTCGTCATCGGTTCAACAAACACCATGGACGTCGTACATATGGGAGAACCGGGCTTTCGGTCAAGGATGGAGGAGAACTTTATTGATTTGGAGAGTAAGTGCTTGGAGCAGACATTCAACTTGAAGGAGAAGCTACGGAACTCAACAACATACGACTTTTGGCAGCATCTAATGGAGGGCATGTCGGAGATCATGGGCGCTCAGTATGCATTCGTGGCTAAGCGAGTGTTGGTTGATGATGAGAACTCAGCGGTGGAGATGCCAGCTATTGGGCAACCGGGTTCGTGTTTGATGGGGTTGGCCTTCTACTTCAACGATCACAAGGGCCAGTCAGGGCTGTACCGAGACTACAAGTATCAGGTTTACGGCTGCCCCTGTCAATGGATGCGACACGACAAAGTACTCATCATCCCCGAGGGACTCGCGACTTTAACACCAAACAACCCAAACTCTGGGTCGATGCCTATCCTCCCCGAAGGTTACCTGGCCGTACCGTTATTTCACAAGGGCAAATGTTTTGCACATTTTGGAGTCATGTGGACTGCTGATGGATTGAGGGAAAGGCCTCAGTTGGGATGGGGGATGTTGGAGATGTTCTTGCACGCCTTGGAGGATCAGGTCACCGACCGAATGTTGGAGGGCAATGGGTTCACAGAGAAGCCAAACGAGGTTATTCCCCAGGAGGCAGTCAGCTATCGGCAATCACTTAGGCCATATGCACGGAGTTTATCACACGAATTACGAACACCTATGCAAGGAGTTGTGGGGATGCTGGATGTCATGTATGCATCAGTATTAGAAGCCACCGAATGGGAGATTGGGGACATGAAGCAGATCCGAAATATGGTTGAATCGTTGAGGGAGAGTATCGAAGTTGCCCAAGGTATATTTTGTTGCCCTGTTTTGGTTTGCTTTCGAGGGGGGTTGATACTGATTTTGGTTTCTTGAATTTTTTAGATAGCACAAGACGTGCA